AGATCCCCTACTCATGAGGCAGTCCACCGACTTCTCCACTGTGAGTCCTTCCCGCAGGATGCAATCCTTCCCCATCGGATTGCTCCAGCGTGGGCTTTTACCACAGTCACGGATCCTTAGGGAGCTGCCACTTGCTCTGCCGTGGGTTGTCCCATGGACTTCAGATGCGTCTCTGCTTCATCGTGAGTCCCATTCTGTACACCCTCCCTCAGGCTCAGCATCTCTGCTCTGGCGCGGGCTTCTCCCCGGGCTGCGGTGGGTCTGTGCCCCACCGAGTCTCATGGGTGCAGAGGGGCCGCTGCCCCTCACTGCGGGCTGAGGGTTATCCCCGCTCTGGCACCTCCTCCCGCTCCACCCGCACTGACCGGTGTCCATGTGGCCGTTTCTCTCCGCTCTCAGCCCTGTCCGGACACACTCGGCCCAGCGTACCCGGGCAGTGGGGCGCTCCTGCGCTCTCTGAGTGATGCCACGGCCATCTCCAGCGGGTGCTGCTGGCCCAGCGTGGGCAGCTGCCGCCTCCTCCCTCTCCTCACTGCAGGGCCGAAGCTCAAAGCACGTTTCCGGCTCCTTTGTCCCTGACTTAAATCGGGCATTCGCAGAGGCGCTGATGGCTCGACCCGAGCCTGGGGAGGCTCGACCCGAGCCTGAGGGGATGGGGGTCTGACCGGGCTAGAGACCGGTGCGACCGGTTTTGGACCTGGGAAGGTACAGGCAGTGAATCCCCTCTCCTGCTACCAGAACCCCTTCTCATAAACCCCTTGCACCCTTCCGTCAGTGAGATGGGATTTTTTGCCCTCACAGTCTCTCACACGTAGCCCAGCAATGCACATCGTCCCAAAGCGGCTGCTGCAATTGGGGCAAACAGAGAAACGCCAAAGTGCTGCCTGGGGCTGGCGCAGGGCCAGGGCCAGGTGGCTGGGCACGATGCCCATCGCATTGCTTCAGGCAGCCCTGGGAGCCATGAGGATGGTGCAAGGTGCCAGCTTGGGGCTCTCGCCCCGTGGTGCGTCCACTGCCCGGGCTGCTCCGGGGGCGGAGCGGGAGCCGGGTTGGGCTGTGCCCGGCCGGGCGGGTTAAAGGCAGTTCAGGGCTGCGCGGCACTGGGCAGTGTCACCATGCCGTTCCTCGAGCTGGAGA